TGAGCAGACTAAAATATTACAATGTCACAGCCAATTCATCCAGTAAGAATCTTAAAATGTTGTAAGTAACAATGATAGAGCTCACGTGAACAGTTGGATCTTTTTTCTCACATGCAACCTTTGGCCTTTCATTCAATTTGGACTGGGGCAACGCTTTGTGCTTCAAATAAAAACACACTTTATGATTCTCTGCTTCTGTTCTTGATTTTCATTCGAAGCTCTCGTTCAGACTTTTCCTCGTACCAAAATATCCTAAGTATGTTAGTCGTGAATTTAAAACAAAAGAATTGGAATTACAATAAAATGCAAAAGGACATTGCATCATATCTCTCCTGAAAAGGAAGTAGTATTGTTTATTTTGGATTATTTGTTGTTTAATTCTGCTGAGGTCGTTTTGGTTATTTTTAAGATTAACCGTCTGGGTTGTCTGGAAAAACAAACCCGAGCAATAACTTCTTGAATATATCACTGCAGGCAAATTTTTTGTCCGTCTCAGCTCGTAACGATGAGCGCTTCGAAGCTGAATAATGCGGTTAGAAGTTGTGCGGGATGTAAAAAGGAAATTAAAGAAAAATATCTCCTCTCAGCGGCCGATAAATTCTGGCATACGACTTGTCTGAAGTGCACACAGTGTGGTGTGATTTTAGAGCAAGTAGGAAAAACATGTTTTGAAAAAGGTACTTCCATACTCTGCAGAAATGATTATTCAAGGTAAAGTTTCGCATTAATGTGTGATTATCTAAATCATTCAGTGAATGCGTGCTGAAACCTAGCACGACCAACCTAAGGGAATTAAAGGTTAATCTTACTTCGAAACGATTTGAAAGGTTGCTATTCTTCCAACGAAAACACTGCTGAATAAGTCTGGAGTGTGTTATAATTAGTAAGGAACGATTGATTACATCAGCAATGCGGCAAAAATAATCTTCTATTTGTTGGTAAGAGATATATATACAGAACTATCTGTTTGGAACTTTGTTAAAGTGATCAAAACTGGCTTTCAGTAGCGGACGCGTTTCCTGAGAAACTGGAAACATCTTTTGGATGCCTTCTTGCTTTCATCGCCGAAACCGCTTAACAAAGGACGTACATGGTAATTCTTACACAATCAATCTTAACTCTCAGTTTCGCTGACTCTAGTTTGAGTCTAGTCTCAGCAGACTATCTTCTTGAACGTACTAAGCAGAGTCAAGCTTTGTATTTCAAGAGGTGACGCTGTTGAACTTGCTTTTGTTCTTTTCGTTTCTTGAGCCTCGAAATTTGGTCACGTATTTTATCATTTCAGCTATATACAAACATTTAACACAAATCAATGCATTTTCATTGAAAAAAAACATCTTTGTACCTATTTTAGTGTTCATGGATATTATTTTGTTAACGTGGAAACCTGGTTTCCGCATGAATATTACGCGCAATAAAGGTTTGAAGGAGGGAAGGGGAGGGGGGGCCGTTGCGCACGGTTTGGAACTCGATGTGAACTAAACGGCCAGAAAAAAAAGTTGACGGTAACTGATCGTACTTGATGCGCACCTCACTGTGACGCAGTGTAAATTAAATTAGTTTCTCTTAAGGTTCCCGTAGTGGCCTGGTCGATTTATGGAAATTGCCTGATCAGTTCGACTATTGCAGGTTATACGGTTCTCCTAATACCTGTGCAGCCTGTGCAAAACAAATTTCCCCAACTGCCAAGGTTTTACGAAGCGGTCAGAACATTTATCACGTCAACTGCTTTGCTTGCATCACTTGCAAGAGGCTCTTGAAGACTGGTGACACGTATTATGTCATAGATGGTGAGTTGTTTTGCAAAGGAGATGCAACGATGAACAACCAACAGGAAAGATAAAAGGTGAAAGCTCATGTGTAATACCTTAAATACGTGGTTTACAGAAAACCTCTGCTCAAACATTAATTAGGATCATTTTGATATTTTTGCGTTCAACAAAAAGACAAAAAGAATAAGACTTTGCCGCGGAAAACTTGGACTAAAGCTTCCCTGAATTCGATGATGAACTAAGTAAAAGGCTGTTATTTTATGAGCTTCGTTGGCTTTTCTTAACAGACGATCAATCCCACGTAAAACCAATCCATATTATCTTCCAACTTAAATTTTTTTCTTAATGTTGATTTCACATACCAAATATCTGTTTAAAAGTTCAGATATGATATTTTTGAAGTTATTTTTGAAAATGTATTTCGCTTAGCAAACGAAGAGTCTAGTTAAAAATGATAAGTTTTTACGAAATTTCTCAAAACAGGACCAGTTTTAATTTTACACGAAGAAACCCTGGATAAAACGGAAGTTATGAAATGCTATTATAGTTGTGCTGGCTAAGTTTGTATTTCGTCTGAATAGGTTGAGGAATACGACAAGTTTTTTCACTGAATATCTCACAACAAATTATTAAACTTAAGACGAAACAATTCCTGAGACAAATTACTTAATTCCTGTGGATTATTGTTCATACTGAGTCGATGGCAAAGTCGTAATGGGAAACAGGTGGGGGGAGGGGTGGAAGCGGAACTTCGCTTCATCGAAACATCAAAACACGGAAAACACAACTGCAGAGGAACATTTCATATGAGTGTGCTTTTCGAAACTTACCTTTGTAAACAGAATTAACCGTTGTTAATGGCAAAAGTTTAGTGTTACTTTGCAAACTGATCACTGATTACGTTTATGTGCATTCTTTTATTTAAACGGAAAAGTAAAAAAAAGAGTAATGTATCAAACTCAGAGACTTTATATTTCAAACTGCTTATGTCTTTGGTTTTTATTACTCATGCAAAATTTCTGTGTTATTTTATGTTACCATCGCTTCGTTTGGACAACTCTGTCCACATTATATATAATTATTCGTATCACCTACAGCGCTTTAATATCTCGCAGAAGAATATTTTTTTACATTCCCTGACAATGCCGTAGATTGGCGAAAGCTTGGAAAAAAGGGAAAGACATTTGCTCAAGGCCTCAACTGAATCATCAATTTAAGCAACATGTTGCTGAAGGGCAACTTCAAACGGTTTTTAGGCACAACTGTTTATTTTATTTTTTTTGTCAACAGAATTTCTGAGCATGCCAAACAGAGACAGAACCATAAAAACTTTGCGGATTTAAGGAGCAAAGGACAACATTTGTGCCAGCAAAGAAATTCCTTGTCTTGAATTCCTCAAATTCAATAAATTAAAAAGAGAAAAAAAAAAATAAAAAATCTGAAACTACCCGCTCAAACTATTCATAACAATTAGATTATGAGATCAAGATTTTAAAGACGATTAAAAATTAAGAGCGATTAATCTGATTGTTTTAGTATAAATCCACTTCTTGTTTAAAACAGACATGTTCCGCAGTGTTTGTTTTTTAATACAACCTACTACTATTAGGTTCCCAACTACTCTCGTACCCGGACCTTCCGCGGCCATTGGAGTACGAGATTAGTTCCTCACTTCACCATCTGTTTTAACTCTCATTTTCAAGATCAAGAGAGTTGCAGCAACTGAAGTGTCCGCCATAATCTATATCAGGTCTTAAGCCAGCATCAAAACTATATTTTGAACATCTCTTCCTTGAACTGTTCAATTACGTACGACGGAGGAACCAGGAACTTGGGACGCTAACAGGAACATGGAAAATGTAGACAGATTGACAAGCAATAAATATCATGTTTATGTGTGGCGGACTCTCTCACTCTAAGTGTGCCACGGCGTTTATTGTCATTGTTTTCGAAGAAATGATCTTTCAGTCCAAAAACCCACTAGTGCATTTCTCTTCCTATCTTCGTTCGGCTTCATTATCAAACAAAAGTTTTTTTTTTTTCGGAGATACGGCATTTTGCATTCAATTGTGGTCGTAATCCTCCACTCCAAAAATAACCAGAGCGTTCCTCTTCCTGTTTTCGTGCAGCTTTATTATCAAACATTCGGAGATACGGTACGATACGCATGTCACAATAAAGTTAATTTTAGAAGTACTTGCACACAGTTGTGTGGCTCTTTGTCCACAATTTCATACCCTGGGTTATTTTATTCAGTGGGATGGCAACTACAGAATTTTTGGGAGATGCGGCATGTTGTGTTTATTTGTGGTCGAAATTCTCCGGTCCAAAAATAACCAGGGCGTTTCTCTTCTTGTTTTCGTGCAGACACAAGGAATGTAAGCAATATCAGTTCAGTTTTTTTATTTTTCGGAGAAACGGTATGTTGCGTTCATTTGTAATCACGAAAGGTCATTAACCAAGTGGCATAATGCCAACATGCCTCGCCAAGCCAACAGAGAGTGATTACGAAAAATGAAAGAGGAGTTTTATGTTCATTTGTAAAGTTACTAGAATGAAAATGGTACACAGTTTTTTTTTTACATTCGAAATAATCTTCTGTTTCCAGTCTTATGAACGCATTTATTCGTTGCGATCGAGAAGGTAATATGAAATTAGTTTGAGTCAATGAAATTTTCTTAGCCTGACCAAATCCACAAGAACGCAAGGCTTGTCCAAGATTCTAAGGCATTGTAACAAATCATAAAGACTGTCAGTTTTTTTGCTTGTTTTCTCCAAAGAGCTTATTAACTTTTGTGGGTTTGTGTGCATCGTAAAAATGAAGAGCATCTTTAGAGTAGGAAAATGAGGGGAAAACATAGGAAGTACGATATACTGCTTTCACTTGCGGTCATTTGTGATCGTAGATAAGTAAATACGTCAGTATCCCACTGAAAACAAGCTGTTTTGATAATAAATTCTTGTAATTTTTGATTCTTAAATCGATAAGTAAATGCGTCAGTATCCTGCTGAAAACAAGCTGTTTTGATCATAAATTCTTGTAATTTTTGATTCTCTGACCTTACTCTGAAAAACGAAAGAGTACACCCAGGACGACCTCTGAGTTCTTGAGATTCTTTCAAAGAATGAAACTACTCAATTACAATACTAGATCAATAGAAGAACGTCATCAATGTTGAGCGCTCTTTTTTCCTTCTGTCAACTATTTATTCTACAGCCAACCTCGGCGACGAGTCATTGTTAGTCACTGGGATCCTGCCGATAACATCTCTTCAGCATTTTAAGTGATCATCTTACTTCAACTTCCGCAACTTCTGAGAAAAGTCAAAGAGCTTTGGTACGTTGATTTCTCATTTCACTTTTTAGCTGATTGATCAAGCAGCGAATGCATCTGCCCAAATTTGTTATTTGTGTGTAGAAGGCGACTTCAGGCGTGGTACTAGCTGAATGCCCTTACAGCCTATGAGACAAAGGCCGTAGACTGAACTCTAGGAACATTTCAGATGAAATCAATGGGGTCGTTATTCCAGAGAGATGCCCTCAAAAAAACATAACGAAGAAGAGTGCTTACTTTCGGTTCGAGACGCGTTTGAATGTTTCCTCAGGCAGTCAAATGACTTTCTCGGAAAAACGTCAACATACTTATATAATTTATGAGGAACTTTGCGCTTAAGGTACACTTCCATCTGTTTAATTGACGTATTTTGAGTTCCTTGTAATAATGTTGGAAATTACAATGATCATGATTAAATTATGCGGCGTTGGTTATATGCAATTCGTGTTCGTCATTAAACATCTACTTCGGCATACGTATTACTTAAAAAACTAAACTCGGTAGAATGGTTGAGTGATACACTGCGTTGATTAGGATCGTTATCAACTTCCGTTTAACTTAAAGTAGCCAAGATTGCCTCCTGCCGTCATTCTCTCGACAACATTGTTTCGCATAAATTTTATTTATAGAACTGAAACTAGAAGTGTCTTAATCTTTTCATTTTGGGGGGGAAGACCATCGAAATTTTCCTCGTAAAGCAATGTACCTCGTTATCGACTTCATAGCATTGAAAAACGTTTGTTTTCGAAGGAAGTAAATAACAAATTTACCACCGAAAAGTTTTCAATTGATGTGCTGTTGTCGGTATGGCGGTGGTTATCTCTATGGGAGAGTCAAAACAGATTCATCAATGGAATCAACGGAAGTAGACCCTCTCTATGATTTTAGTAGATGATTTAATGAAATTAATTTCGGCCTTCGAGAGCGCTTTTTTTCCCAATTTAGGCAATTTTTATCAGGAAACATCAAAACATCTTTCGATTCGCCCTATGAGAAGGGTTTTTGCCTCACGTCATTTCAAAATAACTTCGTAAAATAAGCTTTAGTTAATAGTGGTTATAGAACATGTTTCTCACTGCAGTCACTTAAGAGAACCTTTACTGTGATTCAGGTCTTCTGGCTGAAACGATAAAGTGAGGTCCACTCCGTTAGTTTACCTTTTCATCTTGAGAAAACTTGTCTCTGCACTTGACGTAAATAAAACAATCGAACCGATGCTCTAAACTTTGCATAACAACTAGTCAGAAAAACCACAAGTGCATTTATAATCAAAGTTCAAACAGCAGAGCACAAACTCTACGAGGATAGTCTCACAGTAAGAATAAAACACGACAAACAGGAATATATGTCATATAGCGCAAAAAGGGGAGGTACAATTTGTTAGGAGTCAGTTATACAGAGGGTACATCTCATGCACTCAAACTACAAACCGAAGCAATACAAAAGTCAACAATGGCGTCTTTTCTTCGTAGCTAAGCACTTCTAAGGAGGACTTACTAATGATAGGAGACAAGAGAATTTATGACAAGTTTCTTTTTAAAGGAACTCATTTGGTTTCGTGAAGCGTCTCTGATTTCGAGGCGAAAAGCCTTTCCATTCGTTTGGAAATCGTTTTTTGCATTTTTCCAAATAGAAATTCTTTTTCGAGAAATATCCTACCCCAGTTAGCGCACTATATCATTTTTTAGACTAAATGAGGTCTATCAAGGAATCACTTCCGTTTTGATTTAAAACCTTAATTTCTTTAATCAAGATCGAACATCTTTGCGTAAGTAGTAGTTAAGTGTATTCCTCGTCCATCACTGTATCTAGTTCGAGGAGTAGGGAATGTTGCATTTGCAAAGTGCTTGCGGTTGTCTGTTTCATGAGTTCGATCGCATATGGAATTTCGAGCAGTGCAAGGTAAACGGACAAAAATTTACTTTTTTGTCCTTCAAAGACAGATACATAACGCACATGTACACTTTGTTTTTGCTCAAAATATCCCTTATTACTGTAGCTCAATTCCTGAAGATTCTCGATGAAGATAGATATGTATACCTATCCGGTAAACTATAACCTGTTCTCTTTTGAGATGTTTGGTATTTTTTTCTAGAAAATCATGTGGCGACTTGAAACCAACATGGCTCAAGTCTTCACGTAGTTTTGGCCTGTTTCCAATAATCATTTTGGGGTAACTGAACAAAGATAAAATAAAAAGTGTTCTGACCCGCAGAGATATGGGCATACTTAGTCTCAATAAAAGGGTGCATGTCCTCAACTACATGGTCTAAGTTTGGATAATAGTATTAATTTTATATGCCTATTGATGAATTGATGATCAAGCATGGAGCTGGCAATCATTGTAAACGAGTGTTCGCTATTCCGCTACTCTCAATGGAATACTATTTGGTTAATTTTGAGATAGTGTTCTCTCTTTTGCTAATTCCAGTGTGCTCTCTTTCAGTTGTTTTCTTCGTTGATGTTTTCAGATTCTATGATGGATGACGCTAAAGGTCAGTCGACTTTTTTTAAACCAAAATTGTTATTTTTCCTATTTTGACGCTGTCTTAAATGGCCCGCTCCTCTTTTTCCAGCTCTCTTGCACACATAAAATAGCAAATTGATAGTTCAGTTAATTTTTAATTTAATACTTAAATTACAGTATCGGCAGAGAAAGCGAGATGCCGGCCTAATTTCCCCAGGTTTTGTAAACATCATTAAGGTGTGTTGTAGATCGGTCAGTGTGGCCCTTTTTCTTTGATCTGCATCGAAGTTTTAATTGAAGTCTACTTTACAGTAAATGGCTAGTCTGTTTTCCTCAGCCCCCCCCTTTCTATTTCGATCGTGTTTTGCTGTACTTCGAGACGAGAAAGCTATCCGCTAAGAAATGAAAAGCAATCTCCTCTTCTCCTCTCCTGCTCTGACCCTGATACTCATTTCGCTGGAAATGTGTAAGAAATCTGAATGAATTCTTATTCCTTCCAGGAAACCAGAAAAATCCCCAGACAGCGCGGAAGGTCACATTTCATCTGAGTTTCTTTTCACCGTTGACCCATGACGCACAAGATGGATCTCTCAGCAGCTACTTGTCCAACGATTCAAAGAGTAAGAGCGTCTACAATCAGAGAAAGGAAGACAAAATGGATGTAACTCCCTCTTCACAAATACCCTCTCTCAAACAAGAAGGATCTTTCAGCAGCGCCTTGTTCAACGATCCAAAGAGTGAGATCATCTGCAATCTGGCCAAGGAATCCGAGTATATCCAGGGCATGGTTAAAGGAACACTTGACCCCAATGTCTTTGGCAGCTACACGGTGCAGGATGCTGCCTATTGCTTCAATGCAGTGGATTCTTTCGACCGAGCTGCTGAGAAGATGCAAGAAGTTGGCAAACCTGAATTCTCTTTACTTTACAGGACCCAATCAGAGAGTTACAGAAGCTACAACCAGTATTTTGTACAAACATGGCGGCTCCAGAATACAGACAGCGTGGCTATGGGGCCGGCAGCAGCAACGTATGTGGGATTTGAGCGTGCCTTGAGCCAAAACGATCCCAAGTACCTGTGTATTGCCATGTTACCATGTACCATGCTATGGCCCTGGATTGCCGACCAACTCATCGCTTCAGTCGACAAGAACAACCCATATTACGTCTGGTTTAAAGACAACAAGCCAAGCCCGGGCCACAAAAGCCACCTGGAGATGTTCGTAGATCATTTCTTTGTCCAAGTAGGGCCTGAGGAACGGCAGAAGTGCCTTTCCATTTTCCAAGAAGGTTTGGTTAACGAGGTGAATTTCTTCCGCAGTGCTTGCGATCAAACCCTGTTTTACTACTCGTCCTTCCAGGAGTAACTTGTAAAAAGATCTTAATTTTGTCGTTGGAATAAGTGTGTCTGTGCTGCTTCAGATGATACCTCTGAAATTGAGCTAACTAGGAAATTTGTCTAACCACAGAAATTACTCCTTTTTTATCGTATAGGAACATGTAGTTTGAAATTTGGACGGAGACGAAAGGGGAGGTTGGTACCTATACTCTTACACTAGAACCAGCTGGCCCTTTTTCACAGACAATAATTCCTGATTATTTAGCATGGGCTTAAACATGACTTCAAGGCCTTGTAAACATACCAATCCTTTCTGTTACTTGAGTTTTAGTTTTTTTAAAACTCCCCAGATGGCTGTAGTAAGGGCCTGTCAACATCAAGATAACATCAACAATGTAGAATATACAATGCTGTAATGGAAGTAATTGCATGTTCAGATGACAATTATATTTAATGGTAAAAGGCAAATAAAAATTTAAAACAGCAGTTGAATATGCCCTAATGTTATTTGCAGACACTCAATATGACACAAGAAAGTTAATTTTAGAAGTACTTGCACATAGCGGTGTGGCTCTTTGTCCGCAGTTTCATTTCCTTTAGCTGTTTTTTTAAAGCGTGATTGCAGTTACAGTACAATGTAGATTCTTTTTTTTTATGGAAACAAAACTTCACACTCCTCCTCCCCTCCCTCTCAGGGTCAACAGAAATCAAAATGTGACCTTGAAATTATTGTTAGTGTATGAGGCAAACCTCACACGCCGTAAAAAATGCATGAATACAGACAAGCCTGAGGTTTTATTATCACTTACAGTTTCCTTGATGCGAGCTGACAACCACCTGTTTTAAACAGCAGTAGCTACTGTGTAGGGAGGGGTGGCTAAGTCATCAAATGCAACTTATAGTACAAAGTCCGGAAGTACATCATAGAACGAAAGTTCAACCACCTTAAAAGAGACCACACAACATAATTTTCGAACTGAATCATCATAAGTTACATTATTTGTACACATTCTTGGCGCTAGATTATTCAATGGGTAAATCAGAGCATGAACAAGAAGGCAAAAAGAGCTTGTCAGACATATCAAAATATTTAATAACCAAATTCAGATAATCTACACCATAACAGTAACATTTTGGTAGCCAGGACAGGACCAAGTTGTACCACATATACACTGTAAGGTCACAAACGGTGGTTCATTTCCTACTATACTACCATTAGCTTACTTAACGTGTGAGAATTTTTCCAGAACTCTACACTGATGAGAGGCCTCACGTAGAGTTCTGGAAATTCTGCAGATCAAAACCAGCATCATTTAGCTCTATCTGTGGTCCCACAGACAATATGACCCATAAGAAAACCAGTTTTTGCACCTTAATGTGATTTGTTGGAAATTCTTAGTAGTCTTCAAGTACTTTATCACTCTATCAGAGGACAAGACTGACTATAAAATTTGATGTCGCCCCATTTAAGTCAACAGTATTTTGCAGCTTAAATTACAAATCACACTAATCTTGGTCTGATTTGAATTCACTTAAATTAAGTTACAACATTTACTGTATGTACACTGTAAGATTTAACCTCAGTGTTCAATGTTAGTCTTACTCCTCTCTCATCTAGCTCCTTTCTTATTTGCCCCCAATTTTCTACTGATGATGAGCACTCCATCAACTCATCAAATGCTGCTTGAAAGTCGAATGGATCCTGTACAGAGTGAAGTCGGACAAACTGAACAGGTTGCATCATTCATATTTTTACTTGTACACACATGTACTTGTACTTTGATAGAGCACAATTTCTTTGATACTTAATCAAGAAAAATCTAGCAGGAACTTCACTGTAAACTGGTAATAAAAGTAAATTGTAAAACTGCACTAGGAAATTTCTGTCTTAATTACTGTCAGTAGCGAAGATTAGGAGATAACTGCAACAGCAAAAGTAAGTAAACACAGAAAGACATACATAATATACAATTAAATGCCAAAATCTGCACTCAGTATTTTACCTTGCCTGCACTATCAATGACAGCTGACACAGCTTGTCTGCTGGTGTCAATGAACCACTGTCGTGGAGTGGAGAGCTACATGTAGTGTCTGCCATCTTTAGACCATAATAAGTTCTATCATCAGGGATGGATGGTGAGACAGCTTAAGCATAATATTCAAGTCTCAAAAAGCACATTTGATCAAACAAATACTTAAAGAGAACGATTTTGAGTTAAGTTTTAAAATGCATTGGAGGGACTACAGCTGCTTGTCATCCAGATACCCTGGACCCTGAGTTGATATCTGCTTTTCAAAATGTCAGTGAAGTTGTGTGCAGATTTGTTGATAATTATATAACCCTACTGCCTAGGCACCACTCATTTGTGAGGTAATACCAACAGTGTTTAGATAACTTGATTTTGAGGCTATGAATGCCACAGCTTGTCTTTTTATGGCATCTTTGCTGTTATCCTCTTCCTGAGCTGGGCAAATTCCTTCATTCTATTACAGTATCAGCTTATATTGATCAGAAGACTTAGACTCTCTGTATCGGTAGGGTTTTTTTTTCTTCCATTTTTCCTTTTTAATTTCTATTTTATTTTTTCTTTTCTTTCTTTTCCTTTTTTATGATTATTTAATTGTAACAAAAGTAAACTCTTCAAGAATCTTACTTCGGTATCTTCAAATGCAGTGTAGTTATGCAAATCATATGGATATTTATAATGGATATATTATATTGCAATTCTTTTATTTGAAATAAGCAAGAACCTTTCTAGGACCACTTTCCAGTAAATTATAAGTGAAATAAATTAAAATTATTCGGCATCATGCACTTATTAAATATCATAATTTGATTTTTTTATTTCTATGCAGTGGTCTTTGAGTGCTGAATATTTACACCCTTCAAATGTGTTTACTCTTTGCTCATCAAATTGCACAAGAAAAGATTTATGCAAATGTCTATACTTGTAACAAAAACAAATTTCTTTCATCTTCTTTTAATATCATGAATAATTATATTTTCATTACAGCTGCTGGTATAACCATGTCTCTAAGTGAGGGTCTTCATAAGTGGATGTTATTTCCTGCTGTTCAAAGATTGATGGATATTACAGTCCATTGCAATGCCAAATTGTAAGCTACTTGTATGTTTGTATGCATGCAATGTAACATAATTATATTATTTCTTGTGTAAGAATGGCCTGAGAGTAAATTTGCTTCATAAGATGTTTCATTTAGCTCTAAGAATAATTCAGTTATTTAAAAATGCAATATCACCTACATGTAATGTTTTCATTAAAGAAGGTAAACATGATCACAGTTAATTATTGTTTTTATTTAATAGCTTGTTAAAACAAACAACTAAACAATAAGTTTTTAGTTCCTTTTGGTTCAATTTTTAACTTTGTATCAATAGCAACTGTTGTTGTTGTTGTTGATTTTTTATTTGCCAGAGTTAGCTGTGGTGAGGCTGATATATGTGTGCAGTGTCTGCTTCAAATAAAAATGAACAGCTCTCCTTATTTGGACTAGGTTATAGCTCATATGGGGTATGTGTACAAGATTTTCCTCTGTTTATAGAGAGAATCCTAGCACATAGGTCATGGCACCATGCATAGAAATACTTCACTAGTTCTTTGTAGGCCATATGTGTAAGAGTCAGAGTTTCCTGAGATTATTATGCTTGTTAAAATCACTGCAAATCCATTATGGAGTTTAAGTCATTCTTTTAACAACTCTTGGCATGCATTCACCTCTCAACACATGTGAATACCCATTGAACTGTTTAAGCTTACCATATGTCTAAACTGGTTTGTATATAATACAACTAAGGTGAAGTTGTAATAGGGTAATAAATGTGATTTGTAGTTATTTGTCTGTGAACTTCATTTACATCACTCTCTATTGATAATCTATTGTTTACGAAGTGAATATTAAAATACAAATTTTTTTGCTGCAGGTCTCATTAAAGAATACACAGCAAGTCATTCCCAGGTGGAGGGGGTGGTGATGCTTTTGTTATGTTATTGCTCTCTTAGTTTCAAAGCAAAGTAAAAAAATTGGCTGCTTTGTAAGAATTCAAAACCAAAAAAATCTTTGAACCACAACAAGAATATGTTTATCAAGACTGGTTTCAAGTATTTTTGTGTTTATGATTTTCAGGAAAGTATCACAACCTCTCCAAAGTGCAATGTTGAAAGAGAAGAACAGTTATCCACTCTTCCTTTTCTACTACACACTGCTACATCATCACCCAACTTACTAAAAGGAACTATCACTGAATTTATTACTGCCTGTAAGTATTGTGTTTGATTATCATGGGGTGAATTCATTTTAAATGTATTATAACCATCGGTACCCTAAGACCCTGCCCTATCGTTTCAATGAAAAACATTTTCAAAAAAATCCCAGTATAAGAGTTTGTATGTCATGGTGCAAGTACATGTAGGGCAGGAAAAAGGTGAATGGCCATTGATGCAGCTATGTGATATGCTAGCTGAAATAAGAAAGGATGGAAGAGAGTTGTTGTGTGTCCTATAGTTAGTAAGTTAAATACTTCTTGACTGAGTCAGGTTTTACCAGATAGGATAATGTTTGGGTCATGACCTTGTTGCACTCTGTCCATACTTCATGACCTTAAGCCAACTATTTTGCTGTCAGGTCCTTCTACTTAGTCAATAACTACATGTACATAGTACAAATTATTTACTATTTGATTCTTTTCATCAAAGTTAGGATAGTGCAGCCCAAGCTTTGTGGTGGGAATTTTAGTTCTCATGAACCATCAAATATGATTTGCAAAATTACCCTTGCAAATTGAATTCCTTGGAATTCCTAGAGATTATAAAAAATTCTCAATTATGCAAATAACCTTTGCAAACTGAATTCTCAAAAATTTTCAACTATGTAAATAAGCTCTGATTTGAAAAGCTTGGAATTACTGGGAATTTCTGGGAAAGGAAAACTCCAGTTTTGTGAGGACTTGGAATTCCTAGAAATTCTCAGCTATACAAACTGCCTATAATTTAAGAAGAGTGGAATTCTTAGGAATTTCTGGGAATTGAATTTGAGGCAATTTAAATACCCTGAGGTCCACATAAATTCTAAGAAATTCTCAATACCTTGAATGTGAAGGTTTTAATAAAAGGAGTAATTTTAGAGGCTTAAAACTTTGGCTCAATAAAAGGTATGCTATACAAAATTTACCAAGAGATATACATACATGTATATGTTTATAACTTAAAGATTATGAAATTTATTATTCAAACTAAGTTTTAGTAAATCTCTACATTAATATGGATTTTCTCATGAAGCAGCAGTCAATAAAGTTAAATGCAAATTGCCAATTAATCCAATGTACTCATATCACAGATTTGCTTTCTAACCTCAAAGGACTCTTGAATTCCATGATCATAAAAATTTTTTACTGTGATGCAAAATGTCTCATGTTCACAGATGTGCCAAAATCATCAAACATTCATTAGCTGTTCCTTGGTACACAACTTCCACATGTGTAACAATAATTACATTGTTATCTGCACTTAAAGACCTTTGTTAGTTATGAACATAAGTTAATTCCCTAATCCACATTACTGGTTGCCTTTGTTAAACAAACTTGGAATAGTCAAGCTCAGTTGCCTCAAACACTGTCAGAGACTTTTTGTTAACATTATTTTTAGTAGAAATTTCATGCCTTAGACAAACAAATTCAACACCTAATTAATCTTTCCTTTTTCATGATTGTTGTTGCTGTTTTTTTTTTAGTTTTTTGCTCTTTTTTCATGACTAATTGGTGTAATTTGTTTTGCTGTTTTTATTCTTACAAGACATTTTTGTAAGAGTTCCAATACTTGTAGATCATCCACACACTTTGCAAACATTTAGCATGCAGACAATACAGAGGTAGTCACTGTTCCCTTTGAGAAAAAAACACCTTTGAAATGACTTCTTCAATTTACTTTATTTGAAACTCTGATCTGAAATATTTCTAAAACAAGACTTGTTAGTAGTGAGAAGTACAAACTGAGTTTCCTTTCATAACTTAATTTGTTAATTGTCCCAATCACTGGATCTCCCAAAAAAAATTACTTCTTTTTATTTTTGGTGCAAAATACAAGTCCTTCTTTAAATACAAATGAAAAGTGCAAGTCACACCTCATTAATAACAGCTCTAAAGTTTACTTGTTGTTCTTCTCTGTCTGTCAGCTATCAACAAAATTGTTTTATACTTCAGACAGTACATAACCATTTGTGGACCAGAGTTCCAACGCACCTCTGTAATCGCATATAGTTACTTCTGTCTCTTGTACGAATGTTTCTCCTTTATAAGACGCACTCTACTCCGTTGTCACCACTGCTTTAAGTTCAGTGGAACTAACGACTGACTGAGGAATCGAGATGGCGGTGTTGGAACGTGTTTCTGAACGCTTGCGACTGTCAAGCTTTGATGATTTAGGTACTGGTACGCTGGGATCATCTATGTATCTGTTATATTTCCTAATGTGGTATCCGCTTCTATTACAAAAATGAGGGTAAAAGAGGTCATTTTGACGGTTGTGTCCTCGTGTACCGGTACACAAAGGAACGAAACATTAACGAATGTGTCACAACTCCATGTGTGGATATGAAAACTATAGGAATTCCCCCGTGTACCGGTACACCAGGACAGCCCCCAAAATTGTGATTGGCTTGTGTTATTTCTCACCTTTGCAATGAACACAACTCAAGTGGGTTTCGAGTCTTTGGTTCCTCGACAACTTTCGGCCACAAATCGTACATTTGTAGTACGATCGATTCTTGTCGATTATTTCTTCATAGAGTGAGCTCACATCATTATTTATATCACCGTCAGAACACGGATCCTAAGTATCCATTGTCCAGAAGCAGAAACCAGACTGATAAGTCAGTATAAAATTATGCGCTTCTCTTGACACTGCAATCAGCAAGCCAGCGGATTCACTTTGCTAGCCAATGACAAGTCCTAAAAGATGCATGTGATCATGCCTGTGATCGGAAACAAAGAAGACTCCATTTGGCTCTCATCTTTGAATGTACTTTTCATCGGTTGATCGCTCGTGTGTTAAGTTATTTCTTTTCTCAACTGTTTTGTTTAATAGAACATTTCTAAAGATAGATTTAATCGTGGTTTAATAGGAAAACGAGAGCAGCGCGAGTGTTGTAAAAGAAAAAAAAGTCGTTGGCGCCGTGGAGTTAAAAGAAGGGACAACAGTTGACATACTGACTGGTACAAACAAGGGTCGAGTGGCCATTTATAAAGCTACGATTTTGAAAGTTTGTAGTGAGTAAAAATTGCGATATTCGTTACGTGATTAAAACATTATCAAAGAATAGATATAACGGCTTGAATTAAGCTTGCATAACGCTCGGCGCAACTGAGACTAGAATAGTTCTGAGAATCGAATCGGTCACTTGCATGCCGCAGTTTCTTAAGCTTATGCTTTACAATAAAAATAAATCTATCAGTAAGGTTTCAAGATTACTTTAGTCACTTATGGGAACATTCAAGATTCATAATATAAACTGTGATTAAACAAACCTTATTACATAAAGAAGCCCTCCTTGGTAAAAACAAAATAATGTGTTCAGCCCTTTTTTTATTAAAATCTATGGGAGAGATGTATTAACTCCAATATAAAAGTCATTCAATATAGCAGAGATTTCCCAATCCTAATGCACTTTGTTAAATTGAGATTCCAATGAATGCCCTTTTACTTATAGCTATCTAAGGCCTTGTCTGAGCTTTTTCTATATATTTATATGTATTATTTTTTTCAAATTCAAATGTCATGGAATTTAGATACAAAATGGTCAAGCTTCTTGTAGACAACCTCATTCAAGGCCAACTCGTTGTGAGCCCAGGGAAAAAAAGACAAACAGCAGCTAAGTCTGCAGTTTAGGATAACTTCTTTCTCATTTATTGTTACAGTTACAGCAAGATTTTAATTAAAAAATCAATTCTATTTAACTGTAATTAACCCCTTCACTCCCAAGAGTGCTAGGTCAAAATTTGAGAAGAATTGTTTCTGGGAGCAAAAGGGTTAATTCCATTTGTATCATCATCCAAAATCAAATGATTCATTTTAAGACTATTTTTAGACAGATAGTATTTATTGCAACAAATATAATTTAAGATATTGTATTTCATGGAAAAGAATCAATTATTCACAATTTGTGTCAAACCAAATTTAATGATTGATTAGGACTATTTTATATGAATAGCTGTAATTGAGGATTAATCCGTATAAAGTTTTCAAGAAAAGAAAAATAAATCAGATTCCATCTATGTTGATGTTAATAATTAATCAAAAATATTTTCATTCAATAAACTTCATTGAATACTTGAATTTCAGCTGGGATTTTTTAATTTTTAGTATTTATTTTATATAAGTAGCCTCAAATTGTTGCTTAAAATTCCCAGTAATTCTTAAACATTCCTAGAAATTCCTGAAAATTCCTAGGAATATTTTAGATTTACAGCTTTCAGGAAAAGTCATTGGTGTTCTGAGTTGGAATTCCAAGTCCTCTTGGC